TGAGGTCGTAAGTATACTTATACAAAATTGTTAAGATGGAAGCATTTTGATAGATAATGGTAAAAATGACCTTATATACCTTTCTTTGTTACAGATCAGAGGCCTGGGTCTTTTACTTCTGACTAATGTTTTTATTTGATGGAACAAGGGATGTTTGTTGTCTGAAAAGATGGAATTAATTTAGAAGTAGGGGTCGACAAACGCAACTTACTTGTCAAGTAATTAATAAAGATGGATGAAGGCGACGTAATAGTTATTATTGTTTAGTTTTTGCTTATTTGCCTGTTTGTTTGTTTGTTTGTTTGCTTGTTTATTTTATTTGCTTGTTTGTTATTTGTTTTGTTTCTTGTTTGATTTTTTTCTTCTTTTATTTCTTAGGGCCCCCGAGAAAAGGAATGAAGAGACAACCACAACCGCCAATGTCTGTCACAGGTCTGGCATTTGATGATGACGATATAATCCTGAGATGACACATGGGCATGAAAGATAATTGAACGGAGTGAAGGGGCGTATTTGTGGGTGTTTTGTGGGTGCTCAGGTATGGGTTGTGCCTTCTGTGATACCACACATCTATTGCCCTTATTTTTCCACCTTGTTATGTTTCTTTGTTACTCTCTAGTAGCACTTCTAATCACCGGCACTTAAGTGGCCTTATTCTGTTGTTGTAACGGAAAACTCTTAGTAGAGCTAAACTTAGGGAGCATATTCACAGCACGTAACGTAGAACATAAATATCATCCTTTCAGCGTGAAGATTGAGCCCATTTTTCCCGGGACAGATATTTAAACATTTACACCTCTGACACTTTTAGAATCGATAATATGTCATTTTTCTAATACTTTACTCACGATCTTAAAGAGATAGGAAGAAAAAGAAGTACAAATGTACAAAGACACCTGCAAAAACAGTTTATCAAAGTTTGGAGTACATGTAAGCATCTGGGGGAAAATAGCTGAGGACATGAAAACTTGGATGAAATTAATACAAAGAAAATCATTGTCCCCAAACAGAGGCCTCATAAACAACCAAGCTGAGAAGCGCCAACGACAAAAGGAAAACAGCGGAAAAACGAAGCTTCGATCCACAGCAACGACAAGCAAGCACCCGGACAACATCTGCGCTTCAAACATAGGAAGAAATAGCCTTGAACGAAGCTGTATGAAGACAACCTTGAGACCATCTTAAGCTGATTTGAACGTCGTATGAACTAAAAGAACTATAGAGGGACGATCTTAAAGAGCTATACATGTGACAGTTTTGCCTGAGAGGTAGACACATAGGAAGTACATTGCCCAAGTACTTTACCCCATGACTTCAGATCTTGATGCCATTGACATCCTCCAAAGGAGGAAGACCTCTCAGAACTTTTGAAGTCAAGAAAGATAATATTAGGATTTTTCTTACTATTCCAATTTCTTACGGTAGGGAGATTTTGAATTTTGACATGTGCTCGGGGGCAGACAAACGATATACTCGTGTACTATTTTCAAAACCCCAGAGATATTCTTCAACGTGCGCAACGTGCACACGGGATTTTCGAGATGCTTTATTGTCTTCATCCATGAACACAAGGCGCTGTGTGGGGTTAATTAATAGCCTACATATTTCCCTCATAGAACTAAGTGAGGAGCAAACCGTAGGAATACCACATTAATTCACCGCCATGTTTTTTAAACGGTGTTATATCCTGCTTATGTTAATGTGTGTCCTAATGCCCCCAGCAAGAACATTTGATATTTAGAAAGTGGGCTTTTATGGTCCAGCTATTAGCGTCAACCTGGGCTGCATTGCTGCAGAAAAACCCGAGATACTCGATGGAAACTTAAATGTTTTCCTCGGTCGGGACTTAAACTCGGGTATCCTGCGTGCGACAGCAAATCCCCTGACAACAGCTACAGCACAGACTCCGGCGGTGAAGAATCCACTGCACAGAAACAAACAAAAAATAAAACACCTACACATCAACGATGGGTTTGTACATCTAACAATTTAAATAGCACTTTTTTTTTTACTGTCATATACATAAAGGATGCGTGATCTGAATAATTAACTTCTAGTAGTCGGTCCTAATACAATTATCAAATTGCTGACTATCTCAGTTCCAAAAATGTGTCTCATTTTCCTTTATCATTTTATTTTTTTAACCTCATTTTCAAAATTCGAACGTAAACATGTTTCTGGTATCATTGCTCATTTCAATTACCTTAGTTTTAATATGATGCTTAAGGCATTTGCAACACGTGACAAGTTTGTTATATTATAGGTGTCGGAGATCTTAACAGATACAACCAAAAACAAAAACAAACAACCAACATGTAATGAGAAAAAGAATGAGAGATAATGACGATAAATAATATTCGATAGGAAAGGGTGAGCATACCACACCAGAACACTCGCCAACCACCCTCACAATAATTGCTCTCTACAATTTCAAGTTGATGGGAAATAGCCGAAAAATGCGGCCAGCTTATAAAAGAGAATATTCTGAAACATTATGTTTTGTAAATGGTTTTCGAAAAAAAAAAAATCAACAAGTCACAAACTGTGATACGTGATTTTCAAATTGCTTTTAAGGTATATCAAGTACACAGTTTACGACATATTCCTTGCGTGATAGTTCTTGTTCGCCGTTTTTATTTCTAGCATACATGCAAATTTTGTTTTTACGAAATATCGTTACTATTCCACTTGTGTATTGTGGGTTGTCGTTTTGTTTTGTTTTGTTTTGTGTACTGTCTTTTAAGGGGCGGGGGTGTTTGTCTTTTGTTTGATTGTTTGTTTTGTTGGGGTTTTTTGGGGGGAGGGGTGGGAGGGGGGCTTTCTGTTTACCAACAAGCATTCTTACTTTTCCTGTTATCAGGCAAATGTTTAGATGCAACAGAAAACAGCAAAATTCGTTCCATGCTATCTGCAGAAATAGAGCATGATGGAATAACATTTATTTCTAAAAACTGTCTCCCTGACTAAAAATTTTTAAAAATAACAATATTATTTTTTAAAATACAGCAAATCAACTTAGAATGAGTTTGTGGATAAAGATTTTTTCTCAAAGAACTTTTTTACGTTAAAGATGGGAGACTTGTACAATGTTCCAAATACTAGTACCTTTTTTCAGGGCGGGGTAGAATGAGGTGCTTGTCATTGTTGGGGCATGTAGAGTTATTGATATCTGTTAAGGGTGGTTCACTTGTCCACACTTGTTGGAAAAATACCCATTAATCTTTAAAAGAAGTTGAGACATTTACAATTTAAGTCTGCTGGGATACCCTGCTTTTTTAGAATAAACGTTAGTCCATCATGCTCTGTCTATTTCGACAATGCTATTGCTTTTGCTTTTCGGTTATATTGTGTAATAATAATAATGATAATAATAATTATTATTATT